ATTAATTTCTCTTCTCTCTTAACCTATTTATCTCCAAAACTATTCCAACTGATGATCTTTATACGTTGTACTCGTAATACTATCAAACTACCTGTTCTCCTTTAAATTGCATTAATAATAACAAAAAGATCACATTCAGTGCAGTGATGTCCTTCAGAGATAATGTTTTGTCCCTCTACGGCTCTACAAACACGCACGTTCATCACACGTTCGACTTTGGCAGAATTGTCGATATCGGCACAGTTTGCCATATACAAAAAAAATATACATTGGACACTTGGTGAAATGCAGCGAAAAAAATGATTAGTGCTGATTTTCCGTGCGCCTTTGATATCACTCCGGTCGAACCGGCTAATTGCTAAATCATCACTCTCCCAAGATCAAAATAAAGTAGTTGTTGAATATCACTTTTTGAAGATCTGTAGTAGCCTCATATGTTTGGAAGTAAGCGAACCATGACAGATGATGATTATGTAAAAATTTGCAACGCGGAAATAGCTACACCAAATTGCCTAATGGATGGATTGTCAAGTCTTAATTCTGAACTACTGTGTTTTAAAATCACTCAACATGGTTGTGAACAGAAGAAATAATGCGTTTACTGTATTAGTACTCACTCAAATCTCATTACTTACAATCCTGATGGGTTTCATCCTCATTATACTTCCAGGAGAATTTTGGTTATAATATGGATACGTTTGGGATTCAGTAAAATCATAAGTAATCTCGTATATTGCGAGAAACTTAGATTTTTTTATGGTATAGGTGGCCAACGAGCAGAAATATCATCTGATAGAAAGTGATTACCGTCGCCCATGAACGCGTGCAAGTCAGGTATCACAAGCGCATTGCCGGCCTTCGGCGCATTCCAAATAGTACATTTAACAATTATATAAAACTGTATAGAATTTAGTTCCAAAACCATTTCCAAATATTAATAAACGGTTGTAGGTCACGCAATGTCTGACTCGAGGCCTTCGATCGACCTTGGAAGTTTTACCCTTTAAACTTTGCCCTTAGTTATTATGTAATTTCAACTGTTGGAAATTCACTTTGAAACATACTTAACTATTTATCAAAACTTATCAGTATTGAAGGCTTTCGATAAAGTCACGCTCTGTGCACACGAGGAATAAGAATTAACTTTCAATTATTTTTTACCGACTTTAATGCGCCTACTACATTAAGATGAATTATAATAAATAGACAGACAGAAACCACACTCGGACTCACAATATCATTTGAAACCGACCACTGCTACTGAAGCAATGATGCAATAATCCATTGTAATTCTTTAACGAAATCATTTCATTCCACGAGAATTAAGAAGACAATGAATGTTCTTATATCTGGCAACACGCATTATGCTAGTATTAGGATTTTTTTTTTGGTATAGGGACAAACATGACGGGTCATCAAGACTAATGACGCCCAACAGGGAAGGAACACCTCACAAAACAAGGATTTTGGAATGTTCTCCGCCTTAGTCTGAGGGTGATGTTCCTTCCGTTATAAAACCAGTTTCCTGTAAGGTCGTGATTTACTGGAAGTGGATTTACTGTATTTCGAACTCCTCCAATTTTCTTCTGATTAATTTCGTTGCGGGTTCCAAGACAGTTTAATTTCTTCCTGGGACTTCCCGAGTGTCATAACTCGGTGTGTTCGTGGGTCACTGCTGTGGATCCTGGTGTACAGAAGTTACAGTGGTGGGCGTGTGGGTGGGATTAGTCCCATAACAAAAGGTCGTGATAGCACTACGGCCGATGCGGCCTATATGACCTGCATCTTCCATGGCCGGACTGTGGAACGACGTTATACCAAGACACGCATTTATAGTAATATTTTGTTTATCGTGTGTGATTTCAACGTTATTATTTTGTATACTTCTTACATAAATCGTTGCATATACTGTATGAAAACAATAAAAATCACTAACAAATACATATCATTGTACCTTATCACTCAGATTTCAAATTCTTGGCCGTAATGTATGGGCGATTTATCTATGTTTAACTTCAGATAACCTATCTTCTGTTATATAAGAATCTGTACAATGAAGTTATATAAAAACATTTGCGTTTAATATATTTACATCATGATTAGCATCTATTTTGCAAATATGGTACATGCAACAATATTTACGTAAACATAAAGACTTATCTACATTAAGACCAAGGCTGAAAACCGGTTAATAAAATAACGCCGTATTAAGGATTTTCTAAATAAAACACATTTCTGAAGGCAAGATAACCTTTTACCAGTTAATAATGATTAATATACCGTAAAGTCACGTGTAACGTCACGGTCTTCAGAATAACAGTCAATAAACTGTTTATTGAGAACATTTGCAGATTGAGCGGTTGGTATTTAAGTGCAGTGGGTGAATGGTGTAGGAACGCTTAACCGTTGTTATTTTAAGAAACCTTCCTCTGTATACACAGTTAAGTGTAAAACTCCATTGTAATTAATTGAAAAGTGCCGAATTAAAAAATAATTAATAATAATTGTCATTAGAGTTATAAGTAAGAAGTAGAGAATTATAAGAGTCTCCCCTCTATAGTAGAACTTTTAATGTCTAAATATTATTTTGCATACAAACGGATAGCATAAACTTCATTTAACAGAAACTCGTTTGGCAGACACTCATTTATCATACATTCAAAACTCATAATTTTGTAAGTCTTTAGGCATAAACTTTATATTTATAATAATTAAAAAGTAAAACCATCATACCGCCGAAAGTTAGTCATAGTCAAACTAGTCTTTGAGCATAAACTTCATACGATAGTCATTAAGGTAGAACTATCATATCTCAGAAAGTTTACAGTGAGAATCATCTTTTGGCATACATTTCAATAATTGAAAGGCTATCTATCCATGATTTTGTATTTATAACCATAATATTGAAGCCAGCAAGCATGCAGCATGCAAGCAAGAATACAGCATGCAGCATATCTATCACGGCTCCGACGCCGCGGGGCTCCGGCGGTCCCAGTTGATCAACGCTCACCACCGCACCTTCGGCTTGCTGACCAGCCTCAGCCACGGCGGCGAACGTTAAAACCACCTCCGCGGGCTTAAATTACACTTTAAGGGTAGGGCTAACAAGACTAGACAAGATTCGTTTTTGTCACAAACTTTAGTAACAAGACATATGACCGTTTAAGAAAATATTTTAATTTAAAGTTAAAAAAGCTATTTCATGGCAATATGACTAATAAAATTATTCCAAATGAAATTATACCAAATAATCGTTGCTCTAAATAAAAGTTATGCTAAACGAAATTATGCAGCATTTTACTCTGCCAAAGGTACCTATCCTAAATAAAAATATGACATCTTAAGTGCCTTTGTTAATTCGGACAAATAGACATTCGACCAAACAATAATTATACTAAATAATTATTATGCCTTAAAAATATTCGTTGAAAGAAGATTCTGCCAAGTATGCGAAATAAATTTCAGAGCATCAAGGTTCTGCCAGATAGAGGGAACCTATTTTAAAAGTATAAATATTTAATTGGGTTTTTATTAGCCTTTGGTTGATATCAGATATCTTGACCTAATATCCTATGACACCAAGACAGGGCAGAGGCCATTTGCAGTAAATTTCTATCCTTGCCTTGCCTTGCTTGCCTTGCATCACTTTTATAAAAATACGTGTTGTCGTGTTTTAGGAAATAGACAAAATACAATATTTAAAATTTTTCTTCCTGCCCTTTTAATAATAATAATGGCCTTAAAACTTTTTCTACATCATTCAATAGAGGAGATTCGAACACATTGCGGTCCTTGACGTTAAAGAAAAAGCGAGACGAAATGGCGACGTTAAAATCACACAAAACTGAATACCGTTTTTTAATCATTTATTTACGGTACTAATTGCAATTTTGTATGAGTAATACTTTTCCTGTATTGTAATTATGACATATAGACTCTTATAAAAATACATGAACATTCCCTTTTATAACCCAATTCAAAAATTTAAATGAAGAATAACTTCAGTTTATTACAATTTATCATTACGCAGGCGCAGGCGCAATGCAGTCGGTGATATTTATAAAAGTTAAAGATATTTTCTTATTCGGTTTTGTATTCAAATAAAAATGTATGAAGTATGATACAATCTGCAATGATTTAATTGCACGACTGCTCACTTAACAGATAACAATGAGATTACTATTACATCAGGCCAAGATTAGCCGAGTTTATCTCTTATCACTACTTCACACGACAAGGCCCTGGTTCTATCAGTAATAAAACATTTTGAACTGGCTACTAGCTTAATAAATTATGAGTGGAGATCGTGCGCATCAGCCATCACGTGGTACTCGTATCCTCATTTTTCCACCTCGAATCCGCACATCACATCACCGGGCTCACGGTAAAGTGGTATGACGGAATCGAACTGACTAAAACCGGTGTTCTGTCACATGTGAGCCTATTGCAAGGGACTCGGTTATACTCACATTACACATTGGCCGCCATAGGCAGCCACACCATTTAGTGCAGAGGGCTTAGCTACTCGTATCCTAATTAAATAGCAGAATGCAGAAAAGACACCCAAGAACCAATGTCAATCAGTAATATTACTAAAAACTTTTTGGCAATTTTTTTTTTTTTTTACCTTGTTATCCTCATAGGTCACATCTTCGCTCTAATTAGTTTTTATGACTAATTTGGAATATGCCTGAACTTTTTGTGCACAAAAATAATTCTTTATTTACTTAATTATATTCCAATATTTGTTTCAAATAATGTGTATGCCACTAAGATCAAGTGATGTTATGACTGAATCGGAGTTGGCTGAATTTTTTGTAATCAGGACTTATGACAAGCACCAATTTGATTCCTTGAAATCGTACCCTTGAATGGCCAGGGGACGGAACCATATAGTTATAGAGACGGCTTTTATACAAACAGACATATCACCAATTTTACCGTTTCTTAACGCCATTTAACGATTCAGTCATATAGTTATAACAAAATATAAAACTTACCCTGTACAGACCCCGGACGCCTTCTGTCCTATATATTTTGACTAGACCATCGATCATGCCATTGTATCTCTTGTGATCAGCTAGATGTTCCTCGCTGTACTGCAGGCAGAGACGAGTCTTCACCACCCAGATGGGATTCGTCATCACGAGAGACAGGACTCCGGCTTCGGCCGCTGCCAACATGTGAAGACCTGGGCCGAGTGGTGTGCGTGCGTTTCCGCCTTGGATCCATGTTTTTATTGCGTTATAACTGTAGAAAACACATAAGGTCTAATTATACATGTATTAATAGTGTTTAAAGCAGTCGTGGGTTGAATAGAAGATGTCTATACCATAACATATTGTACAACGAGAAATAACACTTAAAACAAGTGCGAGGGAAAGAGAAAGAAAAGTGGTATAAAGTTGTTTAATATATGTACATATTTTATGTACCTTGCATGTTAATCTTCACAGGCAATCGATAGAACCTTTCGTTTTATTTTATTTCGCCAAAACTGGGATCAACGGAAGTCCAGTGTCTTTTAATGAAATGCGATCAAACATGTCATCTTTTCGGCGGAACTCTTTAATTATGGTAAAAATAATAAGTGTATTGGGTATTTAGGGATAAATGTGAGTTTTAAAACTCCGCGCGTGATAATGAAAGACGCGCCGTGATGTACTTCCATAGAGTGCGACACGGTTTTGTGATATTACACGCTTTATATTAGCTTCACTTGTATGTTTGTATGTTTGTAACCGACTCCTTTGGGCGTGATTTTGACTGACTTTAAACGATCAGAATTCGTTCAAACTTTGTTTTTCTATATTAACTAGTACATTTTTGTTAATGACAACTCAGGAGGAGAATGACAGGAATATATCCTGTGTCGCTGGGGACTTTACAAACACACATGAAACGTACACAAAGAACAACCAGACTCAGAACAACAATTTGTGGAACACACAGAGTGTCGTCCCATGTGGGGTTTGAACCCACAACACTCGGCGTAGTAAGAAGCGGCGTGGCGACCGCTTAGTCCACTACGCCATCCGTGCAGGCGGGTGGTGTGTCGCAATCGGATCGACTAAAACCACAAGGTGTGCCACTCTGCGCCTGTAATAGGAGTGATCCGGGAACTGCTGTTATTAAGACACCCGGACCCAAAACGTTGTCTGCCCCAGTCTTTATATCAGCGACGAGGTCGATAATTAGTGGCAAGAGAAAGTAGAAACTAGGCATCAATCGCGACATCGCAAAATTAACATTTAACGGTCTGTTAGAAACACCTTATGGTGTGAAATTGGGAAATTTTGAACGACTACGATTGGTGCCGCAGAGTGTTTTATTATACGTACAATCCTATGAGCAATTATAAATATCACGCAAAATTACTTTGAAAGATTGTTAGATGTATAGATACTGGTAATAAAGCTAAAACGATTTGAATCAATTTTGCTTCTCTACATTGACCTTGACAGCGCAAACGTTACTTATAAAACATGAAATACAAATTTTGACCGCGAAAAAATTTCAATGAGAATGACATTGAAAATTTTCCCTAGTTCCTTTAAAATAGTAGGGCACAGTAGATTTTTGACAGGATGAAAACCTTCCCAATGGTCCAGCACCGCTGCAACATGGCATGCGTTATTCTCTGCTAGTGAGTAGAAGAACCGTGGGTCAAGATAATAATCCACAAGTAATAATACTGGTGCTGGAGGTTTTCATTCATACTCTTACGCCTTTATTCCTGAAGGGGTAGGCATAGGTTAGTTGATTTTAGTCTCACTTGGGTAATATGGTTCAAGCCTACTTAAACGGACTAGAACGATGAACTATTCATCATCATCATCAACAGGAGGTTTTGAGGACTATTCGTAGACAAGCTAAACTAATAATTTATACCTAAAGAGTCCAATTTCTTTTAAAACAATGTTGTTAATTAGTTTTGAAAAGAAATCGTTAAGTAATACATAAATTAGTTATTTTGTATTACTTAATGCAACTGGGATTTATCGGTTTTTAATTTATTACTATTTAATTTTTGTAATTATTCTATATTTGCTTTCGTTATATTAATAGTACATTAAAATTACCAAAGAGACAGTAGGCTTATTTATGCAACTAGCGGTTTTGATTTCGTAACAGTCGTTCTGAGCAAACTCCAAAGGGGTAAGGCACAAATGTGACTTATTTAGTGGCGATAACGAAACGAAAGATACAAGTACCAGTTTAATAAACCAGAAAGGTACACTTACGCTGTAAATACATCGTAGTAAAATATATGATAGCTTGAAATGAAACAGATAACACGTTCGTTTGTCTATAATTATCTAAGCGTGAAAACATCATAAATTCGTCTTTGTTTTGGGTTTTCGTAGAAAAAACTATAATTAGTTTGTGGAATAATTAAAATTACTATGTTTTTGATCATCTCATTAGTTATTTGTAGCCGAAGTTGTGATTATTAATTATGCTCACATCTATAACTAAATGATTACGTATTTATAAACAGCTAGACAAATCATAATTGCGATAATGCAGACTTTAATGTCAACCTGAACTTCCTAAGTGTCAGAATACGATAGAAACCTTTATATTAAACATTTATTTCAATAATTATGTCAGTCACTAACTACTTCACCGACAGACCCATCAAACATCATACGGAACAATACATACGGAAAAATATGTTATATCTATGTGATCATAATATACATATCCTAATCCTCAATCATAATGATCACATGCCAGTGTTATTCTATTTTTAGAGTAATTATACAGAATAATAATAGCAGTAGTATGCAATACAATAGCTTTATTGTAAGTATAAAGTTATAAACGCTATAAAATTAGTTATTGCACATAAAGAATTGTGCTATTGCACATAATTCAGCACTATTAATCTGAATACGACATGCACAGCAATCGGACTTTGACGAATAATACTCGGTATATTTCGAACACTTCTGCGCATATAATTATGATCGAAATTGAACACTAACTAACAATAATTATCAATACAATTTCGCACAAATGAAAACATTTTTCTACACAAGACTATATCCAAATCCAACAATATTGTGTAAAAAAAAAGAAGTAAATTAACCAAAGCAATTTCACAATTTCACATTTTAAAAATTCACTGTTCAATAGTCCCTGACAACTAAAGTTATTTAACCTGGACAACATACAGCGACTAAAACTGGTACATTATTTTTAAATTGAAGTAGTGTGCAGGAAAATCGATTGACGATGTTACTAAACGAATCCCAACTCTTTAATTAACAATAGATAAGAAGTCAGATTAATAATAGGACCCGTTGCACTCAATAATGTTATCAAGGGATAATTTTTTTATATATGCATTTTAGGAATGTACACGTATTTGAGTATATTCTCTGAAAATTGATCCAGCAAATGTTTTTGACGGTAGATGCATATTCGTAAGGACGACTCTGAGCGTTCGAAAGTAGACGAAAGTTTTTCTGACCAGACCAATATAAAATGATACATTTATACCGCAGAGTTAAATTTACTTATTTCTTATACCAAATAAGTAAATTTCGTCAGTAAGATCAAACAGTCTGCTACTTTTTAGGTTGTGCGAGCATCCAGTTTAATTCAAAATGCTTCACAAGTGTATTAGAACAGAAAGAGCAACGAAGGTAATATACAGAAAATCGGACAAACGTTTAATAAAATAAAAATAAATAAAGAAAGAAAAATCCTCATTAACAAGGCAAAACAGCTTTTGTGGCGGAGTTCCACTCGTATTCAATCGCTTTGAGAGGGGACTAGATTAAACGGGTTGACCTAGCGAATGACCGTAAATTTGCAAGGTATAAAAAAAATCAAATCAGAAATATCTTTATGCCAAAATTTAGAGAATGAGAATAGTCATAACTCAGAGTGATAACTTAATCCTGAGAGCTTGAGTTTTCGCAATCATATTAGGAAATATTTCATAATTTCTTATTAGACATTGAAGGTTCCCTTTTTCTTTTGTTATATTAATAAACAGTAATATCAGCAATATCTTGACAACATACAATTTAGCGAAATCGATCGAATCAATTGACACGTCAATGAAATAGATTATATCATAACAAAATATATTTCACTTTTAAAACAATACAAACAGAACGAAACAAACGTGATTTTTCAGTCACGTTTGTCGTGTCACGAGCCTGTGGTGACATATTGTGCTATAAATATTATTTTCTTTTACTTTATGACATTTTTATGTATTAAATGACAATCTTTTGTTGTCGAGACAGAAAACCTATAAGTATAGTGTGTATATTATATTGCCTTTTTTATTAAGCCAACGTGCAACGCCAACCGGCCGGAATGGGGCCGGGGGGGCCGGGCGACGGCACGTGCCATGGGGTGGCACTGGGATGGGTGCCAGCCCATGGCACGTGCCGGCCCTGATCGGCCCGTATTTTAAAAGGTGTCTCAGTCGTGAATCTAGTATTAAAACTAATTTTAAGTAGAGATTTTATTATTGAACGTCACTTAAAACAAGATTCACCGATTTATACTCAAGTGAGTGTGGATCGATGTTTATGTCGAAATCTCTACTTAGGTATAAATTTTGACAGATGTGATTTTTGTTTACGTGAGACAAGCTGAAACTAGTCTCAATTTTAAGGGAAATTTATGTGTTTTACGATGGTTTGTTTCTGAATAATTACGAAAGATTTACTTTTCTTTATTTACGAAAGAATAACTTGTCATACTATAATCAATGCTCTTTAATTTAACTTAATTGATATTAAATTCACTGAAATTTACATTTTGCACACACATTTTCACATTATCAATTAAAATCACCACAACCTTTTGGTATATGTTAAAAGTATAATATTATTCTAGTAGCATAAATTTTAGAAACATAAAAATAAAAACATTGTTTGAAATTTCAACATGACAAGTGTTGATAAACAAATTGAATGTTCAGTTGCAGCCTATATCTAGTGATTTTATTTTAATATTTATTAAATTTAATTTTGGACATAAAAGGTTGTTGATATGTTAACATTGCTAGAAGAAAATTATTTTTTAAATAGTGACCTGCGTTATTCTGAATAATAATGTCAATTATGCGGAACCGTAATTGAGAACAGACTGTGGGTTCAAATCAATACTTTAAACTAGGTTCAACTGAGTAAAACTTAAAACGCGTTCTATAATAAAACTAGTGTCAGATAATAGGAGTTCAACCAACACTTGAAACGTCTTTTAAAACACGGGACTGAGTGTTGTATTTGCCGTAGTAGGGTTGGAAGGTGAAAAATCTTACGTTGGTACATAATATAGAAGTGCTAAACATATTTGAATGTACAACGCTAATGTCAACAGAATGAAACGGCTCGGATAACGTGAAAATAAGTCCTGGATTTATGCGTTAGCAGGATAGAATCCTGCTAACGCATAAATCCATGACCCATTTTTCTTATTTGTTTAGTTGCCTGTTCTTTAAAGCTAGTTTGTTTTTACCACTAGTTATTGCCCGCGGATGCGCCCGCGTGTCGGTTACCGGTTATATAAAGTAGCTTATATTACTTGCTGATAATGTAGCTTTCCATTTGCAAAATATTTTTTCAAATCGGTTCAGTGGTTTAGGCGTGAAAGGGTAACAAATAACTAAACAAACTCATTTTCAAACCTAGTGACGCAAACTTTAAATATTGACAGATATTTTTATGCAAATCATTGAGAGAACTCGAATACAATACTCGTTGTCTGTGAACGTATAACGTAACGTAAACCTATTTTAAACTATGAATGAAAGTAAAAACTTGAAACGTCATACTAGAGACTTGCCAAAAATTTGACGCGCCAACATTGTAAACGTTACGTTTACAATGTTGCTGCTGTTGGCGCGTCTACAACTAGGCCTTGTTTAGGAAAAATGTGTGCTTCAGTATGGCTCTGCTTTTGTTTAGCGAATACGATTTTTTAAATTATTGCATTCAATCACAATAGGTAGGTGTTAAAGTATGAATTGCCATTGTATTGTAATAACTACTTTGAATTGATATAAAACCTTCATGGTGTAAAATGTTCGTGTTAAACTTTTTTTACATGATACCTGTCAGGTTCTTCTTTTAAAAAATGAGCAACATTTGATTTTTGACTTTCAATTGTTTTTTTTTTTTCACCTTAGACGTGAAAGATGGATACTTCGATAATCTAAGCCATTTTTGATTGACTTTCGACGCGGAACTAACGCGGCAGAAACGGCTCGCAATATCAACGCTGCGTTTGGAGAGGAGACTGGTAATGAGCGTTTTTGGTTTAAAGCTTTCGTAATGGAAACTTCGACTTGAAGAACGAACCAAGTGGAAGACGATGGTGAATAACGCTGAATTGAAGGAAATGGTGGAAGCCAATCCGAGTCAAACTACCCAGGAATAATTAGCGGCATGGTTTAAAGTTACCCTACCTACAATATTGACTCATTTGCATCAATAAGATAAAAAAATATGAAAAATGGGTGCCTCATGATTTGACTGATCTACAGAAAGAAATGCACGTTGAAACTTGTGTTGCCTTGTTGAATCGGTACAGCAATGAAGGAATATTGGAAAGAATTGTGACATTTGATAAAAGTGGATTGTTGACGATAACCGTAAGCGAAAAATGCAATGGCTGACCCCAGGTTAAACAGCGCAACAGTGCCCTAAAGCAAAGCTTACCAATATAAAGGTAAGGGTTACTGTTTGGTGGTCTCTTCATGATGTTATTCACTATAGCTTTCTCAGGTTTGGTCAGGCAATAACAGCAGATGTTTACTGACACTGCCAAGACTCGTGAATCGATCATCACCATTATTGCTTCATAAGCATAACGCAAGACCTCACACTGCACGAGAAACCGTAATGTAGACGATTTTTGATTGTGAGAATAATACCGCCAAAAACTTGTTATCTTGATCATCTTTGGTAGTAAGTAGCACTATTTAATCCAGGACAAGACCCAGGATATCTTTGCAGGGTCTTAAATTAAACTCTGATGAGACACGGAATTTTAACAATAGACTGTTTTTTTTTTGCGCTGCGATTAATTCGATGGGCGTGGTAAACCAGTAAACGGTTTAGAGAAAATTTCTTTCAGATATGCTTTAGCATAAGATCTTAGATCTCATAATATTTCCATTTGAACGAAAGGGCCTGGCTTTGCTCCAAGCTAAAGGGGCAGTTTAGTGCCAAATATCGAGCTTTTATGCTTTTAATTTCGATAAGTTCATTAACACACTTATTTATGTTTTTGTAATAAGATATTAGGTTTTTTTGACTATAGATATAAAGAATCTCTTATGTAAAAACCAATATAGAAGGCTCAAGTACGGTAATGTAACCGAATCGTCACTTAACCGCAGAATAGCTTCATGCTAGTATACTAGCCACAGGAGTCCACCAGTTTTTATAGTCACTACTCTATTACTTAAAGGTCATAGCATGATGTTAAGCATTAAATGTAAGTACTTATTATCAATAGATATAGTGACATCTTGTAAAATGTGAATGTGGAGAACGAAGACATATTTTCTCCTTCAATGTTTTACGGTCGTTACATAAATCTTTACAAATCTAATCTACATTCGAAACATTTACCTAATCTAATCTTATTGCTTCTTTTCAGAACTCTGAAATGTCGTTAGCATTACTTAGGTTACTTGAATTGTATGACGTTTAGACTAACTGGACTAGTGTTTTATTTCACAAGTTTGCATTAGATGTGGTCACTATATGCAACGCGAAACTTTTATTGTTTTTACATTTGAGTGTATCGGATCAACTTTAGGGCCATTAGAAATATATATTAAAAAGACAACTGCGTTAGGGCTATATTTGCGTTAGGGCTATATTTGCGTTAGGGCTATATTTGCGTTAGGGCTTTATAGATTACAGTGTTGTCCCATGTGGGGATCGAACCCACAACTCTTAGCGCAGTAGGAACACGAAAGGTGACCACTTAAACCACTAAGCCATCCGTGCAGTCAATTGTAATATTGTATTCCTATAAAAAATATTACCAACATTAATTAAACGTACCAATCAATGTACTTTTCACATGAAAAAGTCTGTGTTCAAATGTTAAACAAAGTTTCAGTCCGAAAATAAATATTGCTCAAGTTACGTGACGTCATAGAATACAAAGGCATGTTGTTTCTCAGGGACCTAAACAAAAGAGCAGAATAATGTCAGTGATTCGTTTATTTGTCCATCGTAATAGCCAATGACGCACAAAATTGATGTCAATAAGAGTCACTTTCAATCGAGATGTATGATTTGCAAGTGGTCGTGAGGCATAAATGGCATTCAATCAAATCATAACTGATAATCTGACACAGATAAAATGATCGAACACAGGAGGAACTAATGCAGAAACTGTCTTATCAATGTTACATCGTAAAGTGCATCTCCCTATAAGAGGTTAAGCCTTGTGGTGATAGTCGAGCCCAAAATTTAATAACGATTTTATACAATACCCTCTTTATTTAAAATCGATTCATCCTTTAATAAACAGTCCTTGTCTGGTCGGTATCCTATAAAAATGTCACCGTAAAATCATAAGATTGTAAACCGAAAGATAGAATTTAACAATTTAAATTTTTAGATCACAATTTAACGCATTATTTTTAGGTAAATTATAATTGAATTATGAAGTGAAACGAAATTTAATAATTGATGCCCTTAATCTGAGACATAAAATTGTAAGTACGAAAAAATCTGGACGGTCATAAAAAAATCGGTACACTTATTTAAATAAAAATTGACAAACCAGTTAACAATATTTCGACAGTTATATAAACAGATTATAATTTAAAAGTATTTACAATTTGGCAGTACAATTTACAATTTTTCAGAGACAAAAATACGAAAAAATCGCAATTGTTGTTATTCCCATAAAAATCCCCTTTGATCTGTTTCTTTCAATGCACTAACCTCCAAAACTATCAGTCAGATTTGAATTATTCTTTTTCTTGTAGGTATAGAGTATTCCTTTAGGAAGCCTATAAACTATGTAACATCACACCATATAAATATTGATGCTGTGGAACTGCTTGGAACGGCAAGTAGCCAATAGCCTTCATCAAAGAGTATACAAGTATAAATGAATCTTCACAGTACATCCTGTTAAAATGTCTTACAGTTTTAACAACACAACCCATGTTCTGTGTGAATAGGGAATATGCACGTGACACCAAAATGGACAAAATATTTTTATTTGTAATTTTTATTGCTAAAAAAAGATACCCATACAATTATTTTTGAAATTTATTATAATTTAATAGCGAAATTTAATCATCGGCTTTTTTAAGAATCCCTCGCAAATTTCTAAAACGCAACGCTATTGGTTGAATAAAACGTGACGTCAACCTACACTGTCAAGAGTGTCAACAAGTTGTGTGTATTTATAATATTTGGTTTCTGGTGATTATTTGTTTCATTTTAAGTTAATAACTAATACGTTTTCAGTGTTAAATTATTAAATTTCCGTGTAGAAAGACTTAACACAATGACTGAATATACTTTGTCAGGTGCAGTTTTGATATTATTTGGGCACAAAGGAACGGCACAATATTTATAATAAGTTTTTATTGGCTTTTCCATGGAAATAAGTTAATTTTTATCACTCACTTTTTTAACTTTCACAAACTTTGTGAACTTCACTCCGTTTTTGACATCGAATTCGTCTGAAAGTGTAATCTGACGTCACAAAAAAAGCGCGCCAAAATGGACATGTTCAAGTTGCTCCAAAATGATAGTGATTTTAATAAAAAAATTTTTGCTTAACGGTTTATATTTCGGATGTCTTATATTTATTTTTGGTAATGTAATAACTAGTAGAATCATTTAAAAAAATAAAAAAATTACATGCATGTTCCCTATTGTTAGGATAGTTGTTCATTAACAATCCTATTGCCCTAATAAAATCCTTAATCCAATTATTCAGCAGTATAGAAACAAAGAATCTGAGCAGAAATATACTATCCATTTCAAATAAAAGTACAATTCAAGAAGAGTACACAAAGTTTTAAAAACAAGTTTAAAAATACTTACAATAAAAAGTAGAAGCCCCAAGCAGAGCCTGATCCCCACACATTAGGTGTGACACCTCTGTAAAGACCCTTGACACCCTCTTTCTTCACAATTGTAACAAATGCACTGCCAAGTCCATCATACCTAGGAACTGTTGTGGTTCTGCCGTCATTTACTAAAATCAAAACAAATAAATAAACCGACATCTTGCATGCAGCTTAGCATGTTAAATATAAAAGATTTTGACTAGGCAATAATAATTATAACAGTAAACCATATAAACCAACCAACCAATAGTAAAGCAAGTAAATACATAACTCCACAAAATATTTTTGATTTTTAAATTTGGATTCAAAAAGGAGTTGTGTAACCATTATACCAAATATAATAATATTTAAAATTTAAATTAAAATAAACCATTATATAATTTTATTATTGAAAATCAAACATGTTGGAACTCATCCCTTCCATGTTCACACTGCAGTGATCACTGTACACGAGGATCAAAAACAGTGATATACCCAATCTCAGGTATGGTTTAAACTGTCTTGGATAGATATCTATGGACATATTTAATCAGCACAATATTAATATTGGTCACATTTATTGTATGTCCTGATCAAATTCTAATGGCAAAATTAAATATTAAATACTTTCTGGAGAGTGAAGAGCAACAATTGTTGAAGAGTTATGGAAAAAGAGAAAATACCATACTGACTGACAAACCCTATAAAAATGGTTTCAAAACTCCTTTATTAGTATGCTTCCTTTGTTGCTCTTTAGGTTTTACATTATAATTAAATACTATACAAACTAATACAAAAGATGGAGTATAAATTTATGTATATAACAAGTAATTGAATACACAATCAATCAACATTGTTTTACAGATACAAGCTTCCATTTATGCTTCCTACAACTTGCATTAAAGAAACACTACTATGCACAGATGACAAAGACAAGGTAGGTATTATGAGTTACAAAATAGATTTATAGTGCATAACTGCCACTAAATATAAGATTTCACATAAAGCTTTAAAAAAGAACAGACATTTTACACAGTACAGAATAATGCTATTGTTATAATGTTTTTTTAAACATCTCACACATAGCCATCTGTTCTCAAGTAGGCAGAGCCTACATTATGGTTACCAGACTAATAATAAACATATTTTTATACTTCAATACATAAATACAATACAATACATAATAGACCTTACACACCTAAACACAGAACAAAAGATCATTTTAATCATACCATAGTTTTCCTGGGAATGAGTCAAATCTACTAGACTAGGGGTTCCCAAAGTGGTTGATATCAACCCTTAACACAAGTTCTTATTTGAAACTTTCATTATACAGTATTAGTTGTGTCACATGTATCAACTTGTTATAAGAATAACTAATATTTTAGTAAGCAGTATCATAGTTGTACTTTTAAAAAACTCAACAAGTTGATAAGTGTGCAGTAATTTGGCTAATGGGATCTAAGGTATCAGTTCATTTTAGAAAAGGGTCTCTTGCCTGCAATAGTTTAGGAATCCAATACTGTGTACTCAACAAATTTGAAACAAAAATGAATAGAAGGCTGTACAAAAACTAACAAAAACGTGATAAACTATAAAAATTAATGAGGATTCATAATAATGGCATATTAAAACAGTATTTTGCAATCATGCAATGTCATTTGGTTTCAAAACTTTGAACAAAAATGGCTATTGGTACACATAATAAAATCCATAATTGATCATCATACAAGAATCACATTTGTAGCAAATGAATACTGCCAACAAGAGATTACATTGCATCATTTAGTCTCCTAAATTTATATAAAGTGTAAACAAAGCACTCTTGTTCAAACTTTCACTTGATGAAGTTCAAGGTTGCTGGGTAATAAGGGCATTGAGGGACGATTAACTAATTAATTATCCATTAATAAAACTGACTCCTTCAAAGGGTCTTGCCGTGTCATCAAAAAACCAATCATAGATTTTTTAACCTCATTAAAACATTAGATCTCACATGGTAATGTCGTGAAATAAGATCACACTGCTTACCTGCAAATCTAATTTTAATTAAATCCAAAGGGTGCAAAATAAGCGTAGAAGTGACGCCACCTGATATACCAGCTACCAGGTGCTCGTACTTGATGTGGCTGTACAATGCGGCCTTAGAAGACGACGAATTAGGATTCTTCATTGTAGACATCACGAATTTACTAAATCACAGATAAAACTTTTGATAGCATCTTGCAGGGACTCTATTTACACACCTATGTCTACCGGGACACCGAATCCCAGAAATCTTTAACGAAACTGAATTTACTGTAATCTTCACTAAACATCGTTGCTCGCGTAATAATCCCACGAATTACGTGCGATAAAAAATGAACGATTTCCAAAGTAATTTGGCATACCGTTCCTTTCCGCGAAATCGATGTAACTGGATAATTTTAGGATAGCATAAAGTGGCTTCGACGGATTGGCATATCTGTAGTAATTTATTTTAGTACATATTAATCACCTTTACGTTGTGTACCAAAGAGTTCTTGAACAAGTAGTTCAATTGTCACTAATGAATTTTATTCTTAATTTTGTATGCCTGCATTTCACAAATTACATCTAGACTTTCATAGATCATACACGAGTGGATAATGGAACGTTTTAACAATGACGTAATATTAGTGATGTATCAAAATTAATATTCAAGATTCGGTTTTTAAATCCGAAATGAAATTGAGCATTCATTTTGTTACGATCATTATTTAACTATTTAAATAACTAATATAACAATAAACAATAATAAAACTGATGACAATCATTTGATTACAATGATCAATCAAGTTGTGAGATAGATCTGACAAAATTTTGCTATATACGCACTACAAACTAAGAAAATTTTTCATAGTTTCTGATGCCATTTATTTATCTTTTTTGCAAAGTAAAATGGGATAAGTAAGATTTTAATATCTTTAGTATGGATATGTTTGAGTTTCAAGTGATCTACGTAGGCGAACCATTGGATGATGGAATGAAAAAATGGCTATCTAAAAAAATAAAAACGTATGGAGTATTTTTATGAAAAATGTAAATAAGGTATTATGTGTTGTACATAGTTAGCATTGTAAGTTAAATTATTAATTTTTATGTACAAAGTTACCCTACGATACTCGAGGAAACGAAACTAAAATTAATTTTAATGGTAATACTGATACTTCAAATTTTTTTGACGTCTCTTCCCGATCAGAACTCTTAGCTATTGCTCATTTGTTACGTAAATCTGCGAGCGAAAAATATACTTGTAAGGGTCTGAAAGACGAACAAAAATGTTGAAAGTGGCAACTACTTTGAGATTAATCTCAAAACAGGGCAATCAAGTGCGTTGTTTGGCCACAGCTGTAGGGTACAAGCAGGCATTAGTAAATGTTCCACCAACTAGACTGTCAGTGTTAGATAATGGAATCCGCGTTGCTACTGAAGATAGCGGTGCGGCAACTGCCACCGTAGGACTATGGATCGACGCTGGATCTAGGTACGAAAACTCCAAGAACAATGGAGTCGCTCATTTCCTTGAACACATGGCGTTCAAAGGAACTAGCAAGAGGTCGCAAACTGACTTAGAATTGCTTGTAGAAAATATGGGCGCCCATCTAAATGCTTATACATCAAGGGAACAGACAGTATTTTACGCTAAATGCTTAGCCAATGATGTCCCCGCGGCCGTCGAGATCCTTGCTGATATTATTCAAAATTCATCGCTCGCAGAACCCGAAATCGAACGAGAACGAGGTGTCATTCTTCGTGAAATGCAGGATGTAGAAAGTAACTTACAGGAAGTCGTTTTTGATCATCTTCATGCTACAGCTTTCCAAGGTACACCCCTTGGCCAGACTATTCTTGGACCCACCAAAAACATCAAGAAAATTTCTAAGGCTGACCTTCAGAACTACATTAAGACCCACTACCAACCAGCTCGTATTGTTCTAGCTGGTGCTGGTGGAGTTGAACACGAAAAGCTGGTTGAGCTAGCAAATAAGAATTTCAGTGGCCTTAAGAACACTGTTACTGATGTAGAGCTACCACACTGCCGGTACACTGGATCTGAGATCAGAGTCCGCGATGACTCTATGCCACTGGCGCACGTCGCTATTGCTGTTGAGGGAGCTGGTTGGACTGATGCTGACAATATTCCTCTCATGGTTGCCAACACTCTAATTGGAGCTTGGGATCGCTCACAAGGTGGCGGCATGAATAATGCTTCCTTCCTAGCCCGTGCAGCGTCTGCAGGTAATTTATGCCACAGCTTCCAGTCATTTAACACATGCTACAAGGATACCGGTCTATGGGGTATTTACTTTGTAGCTGAACCTCTTCAGTTAGATGACATGGTCCACAACATTCAGAGTGAATGGATGAAGCTTTGCACATCTGTAACTGATAGTGAAGTGTTGCGAGCTAAAAATCTTTTGAAGACAAACATGCTACTCCAGTTGGATGGTACTACTCCAGTATGTGAAGATATCGGTCGCCAGATGTTGTGTTACAATCGCCGCATCCCGGTTCATGAACTGGATGCTCGTATTGAAGCTGTCACAGTGCAGAATGTTCGTGATGTCTGCTACAAGTACCTGTATGACCGCTGCCCTGTTGTTGCTGCTGTCGGTCCTACCGAAGGCCTGACAGATTACTCAAGAATCCGTGCTGGAATGTACTGGCTTAGGGTTTAAACAATTGTAGTAATTTCTAATTAGTGACATTATCAAAATCAGTTAAGATCGGATAAATTAAATATTCCCCTCTCAATGTCTGTTGTTTTATTACAATAAAACACATGTCTTGGTGAAGTCTGTATTTATTTAAGAGAATAAGTAAATAAATGTGTAAATAACATGTTTTTTTTATTTTTTTGTTGAAAATCGAATCCTGTTCATGGTAGGCAAATAAACTGTACAAGTTGACAAAAATAATCTGTATTCATATGAGGAGATTTTAATTCTGATGGCTATAATTTTTTTCTAATAAAACGCCAAGTGCAACTAGAAATGCATATACATATATACATACACATGCATTTCTTTTAGTATGCTTTGGCATGTTAGCTGATCATTTTTGCGCAATACAGCCGAATTATTTAATTATATTATTTTTAAAATACATAGGATATACCACAACACTACCTGGTGAGAATAAGGGCCCGTCCGCACAGCAATATTTCACCGCCAAATAGCCACCGTATCGCGTTCATTTTGTATCAAATCACAGATCTTGTTTTCCGCCAGTGCGGATAATCCTACTTAGATACCATGTGTTACAGAATTTTGCAAAAAAAGAAACGCGCGGTAAAATATCGCTGAGCGGACGGGGCCTTTGATGGTTATATTGTGCATGTTTTTGGTGTGCCTGCCTCCTAAACATGTTTTACGGTGGGAATGCTGCAAAGTTGTGCAAGGCCTGCAAGATAACAGGAGGATTACTCTCCTTTGATGTAGAATCTGAATACTAAGAAAACTGTGGTTAGATAACAGCACTAGTAACAGTATTGTTTTTTGATGAATGCAAAAATATAGTCAAGGGGTCAATTATTAATGGTTATAAGCACAATTATACTGCTTATTTGTAATCATGAGTTTGTATTTTCTCACTTAGTAGTATAAAAAAGAGATGTACCAACATAACATCCAAAATATGACTGACTCACACTAAATGCTGATTGTTGATATGAAAAATGGCAACAGATAAAGATTTTCACATATTACTCCGTTTTCTATACAAAGAATATTAGTGTTTTAATAAATAAATAAAATATACAAGTCAATATTAATTATGTACATTCTAAATTCTAATTATACAGTAATAGGGGCATCTGGGCTGGTTTTCTCTTCATTTTTCTCCTTAACACTAGTAACACTCGGTTTCCTAATTACTCCTGGCTTAGCTTTACTCCCATATGGCAGTACAGGTTCACTGTGGCTGATCAAGCTCGCCGAAGATATAAACACCGACACCTGTTCAGGTGTAGGGCATGCCACTATCAGCATGTCTTCGTACGAATACCCGGCGTTAGATAAAAGCTGTTCAATTTGCACGAAATAGCCAACCACATAGTTCTGGAACAGAAAAAAGGGTCTAATTATTTCTCTGTGGAGTTCATACGACCATAAAACCATCGGACATAAAATACCGGGCTTATAAGCGGCACACACACATAAGTGGAAGAAAGAGCGCCATATCGCTATCCTATTCCAATGATTTGTGAACCGATTTGCAGCCACAGTAGATTATTTTACTATACAGGTGCAATAGATTTCCTTAAACCAATAATTTAAGCAGAAAGCTAGTTCAAAATTTTGTCTAATATACTACAAAGTAATTACTTACCCTGATAGGCCTGAACAGTATGAACTCTGTCTCCTTATTGGCTAAGTACAATTGCATGGATCTCTGTAGCGGTGCCAGGCTAGATCTGATTCTTCTCTGAGCTTCTTTCACTACTACCGCTATTTCTTCGGGCGATGCCCACGGCTGGGATTTCAGTTGTTCTATAGGAGTGAAGGCTTGGGCCTGGAATATAATAGGTTAATAGAAACTGTATACTCTGATAAAGTTGTAATGGTAACCCGCTTAACCCTTTGGGAATATAGACGTAAGTGTGTACGTTAACTGTTTTGACTAAACAGTCAAATAAAGAATAATGCCGATAGATGGACTTTATCAAATATTTAACTAGTGCTTACTTTTTCAATGAATGCAATCATTGGTCCAGTCAGAATCTCCGTTGCATTCTTAATGAAAGATTCGCAACAACTCTTCAGCTGCCTATCCACCTCCTTTCTTGAATCCAAGAGGTGTTCTCTGACCATCGGTGTACCGTCTAACAGAAACTCCAATATAGCATTACTGCTGTTTAACGAGAATATCTGTCTCGGTTTCTGTAGGAGTCCGTAAGCTGCATTTTTGACATTACTGAAGTCTAAAGTAGTTTCTTTGACAATGAAATCTACTTGGAATGGTGCGATCTGCTCTCGAAGGATCAATAGATGTTTAATTTGGAAGAGTTCTCCGTCAATGTTGGTTGTGTTTGCTGTAATTTGCTTTGCGGCGTTGTCCACAGATTGAATGCACAGAGAAATAGCTTCCTGAGCTAAACCTTGAAAGACTTTTTTTTCCAGACATCGGTACAGTCTTGACAGTGCGGCCAAGGTTCGTCTGACAGCAGGATACCACATCCCGTGAAGGTCGGCCGGTGAAGCCTGAGGCCGCCTATGGGTTTCCACATTGATGTTTGCTACTTCTTGTGATGTGGCTGAGATGTCCGAAACCATAGAATTACGGGAGTCGCTCCGTTTAAGGGACTGTTCCATGGCAATTTGCTGAAACAGAACATAATTTGTGTGGTATTTTATTCGTGTTTATTATACTATGTTATTTATTCATCAATCTACATATTTTTTTTTTACAACCTGTATATTTTTACAACTTTTCTTTGTTAACCATGACTAGAACTATCACAATTGCTGAATAATAATTAATTTGCAAGTAGAACAAATATAATATTTATAGTAATGGACATATTCTGCTCACGTTAGACGGCTAGATCAAGGGTTTGATGCAGAAAGCAATTCTCCTTGACATGGTCCATATAGTGAGGAGGATCCTGTCTTTGGGGTCCTAACCACCGGTGTCTTGGTCCCTATACCCTAAATCGGTGGTCTACTATTTTTATATTTTCAAATAAGTATTTATTTTTTGCACAGGCCAGGTGGAGGGATGATTTGAGCAAGATGGTGCATCAAGATGATGTATTTTTTTTATTAAATATAATATTTAATTATGTTTAAAAATGTAATGAATATGTATACAAAAGTAAATAAAATAATAATAATAATAACAAAATAAATAAATACTAATTGTGAGTATTAAATTTAATTTTGCACTAGGTATATAAACCTGTGTCGAGCAGGACTTTTTAAACATACATTAAACGGACACAAAGAATACCCGGACTCGGGAAAACAATTTATGGATCACATAAAGTGATGTTCTATGTGGGGATAGAATCCACAACACTCGGCGCAGTAAGAAGCGGCGAGGTGGCCGCTTAAACCACTACGTCATCCGTACAGTCAAATTAGTTTCATCGAAAGGTTTAGAGAAGTGTACCTCCATCATGAGCAGCTTGTCGGGGTAGGCGAGGTCGCCGTGCGCGGGGCGGTAGAGCAGCACGTCGGCGCGCAGGTGCACGTGCGCGCGGAACACGAGCCGCTCCTGCGCGTCCTGCAGCAGCGCGCCCGCCGCCGCGCCCAGCGCCGCCAGCCGCACCGCTGTGGACCGCGACCCTCCTTATACACGACTACAGATCGCTACCCCTTAAAGATTCTACATTTTAACTAGGTCCAACGTGGACCGACTCTACAGAGGCGTGTAATTTACTGAAAATTTGAATTGAACACACAAAAATGGTGTAACGTTTGTGAAATTATTAAATAGTCTTCCATTAAAATCGTTCTTTGATAATAATAATAATGATCAGTTATTGTCCGTGTAGTGACGGATTAAGAATACGAAATGTCACTACCCCAATTCATCCCGTGGGTGTCGTAAGAGCCGACTAAGGGTGCAAAACAACGCAGGACACCAGAACTTCAAAAAGAAGGAAAACTTGACACAAACCCTATACCAACCCGTCTGGCCAGCCTGGTATAGTAGGCCTAAACCTCCTTTCTAAGGAGAGACCTATGTCCAGCAGTGGACTGTTACAGGCTGTTGATGATGATGTTAAATCAGTTATTTGACCAATACATTTTTATTACAGTGTAGGACATTTTGGTTTAAAATAGATCTTATATCAATGATATAAGAATACAGCTGGTCGAATAAAAGTATAAAAAAATCTGTTTTTGTTAATTTTGGGTATAACGTTGACATACTCACGATCGTTATTGACTTGCTCCTCTATGACTTCGACTCGCAGTATGACGCACAGTTCGGCGAGAGTTTCCAAATGGTTTATGTGAATAATGTGAGGCCGCAACGTCTCATACAGACCGTTGCACAGCGATTGTAGGTACTCGCTGGAAAAGAAAAGATAATCCTTGATTTCAATAGTATTTCTGTAGATGGTTGTATCGCCTAGAATTCATATAATATATATATTTCTACCCATCTCACATTATTGATCATTAAAATCAAAATAGGTAAATAAATACATCAGGATACCAATTAATTTAAGAAACATGATAAAAAGTACTTTTTCAAAAATGAAAACAAAGAACAGATAAAATATAGCTGTTGCTGCTGACAAGGACGTTCAACTGACATCCTGAATGAATCAGTGAAATGCAATGGAACTTGCCATAAAGATTAGAATGATAGTTAGCGTGAGGTTTTCTATAAATTATATTATTAGAGATTAAGTCATTATAATATGTTAGTAGCATAAGCGGATGACCGGCGATACCTAGACGTAAGACCGAAATATTGGTCCTTCGAGCCAGACTAACAAGCAAAAGAGAGATCAATAAAATACTCACTCGAGCGCAGGCGAAGGGCTGGAGAAGAAGTGAGAGTAAAGTGCACATTCATCGCGTGCGGCGTGCGCGAGCAGCGAGCAGGCGGCGCGCGCCTGCGAGCAGTGGTCGCGTGCTCGCTCGCCATCCGCGCCGCGCAGGGCGCCGCCCGTGGCCGCGCCCGCCACGCGCGAGCGCGCCGAAGCGTACTCGCGCTGCAGGTCGCCCAGCAGCCGAGCATAGCTACGAACAAACACAATTCATTACAGACTACTTCATGACATTTAAAAAATAATTTTCGGACTGGATTAGCATTCAGGATTATTCATAGATACGAAACGATGTGCTACTTTTCCACCCGCAAAGTATTCTAACGTCCGAGGGGTTCAGAGGTTCATACTTAAATGTTTGTAAAAAAAATAATTTATTATATATTGATATCTCTAATTCGGATTGTGGTGTTGTTGATGAAGATGAAACATCATATTTTCTTACCATAATATTATTATGGGTTCTATTTAAATCAAAATGCACCTTACGATCAATACACAAGCAATCTTTATATGCAAATCACAAAAAAGGAGACATAACTGCTATGGCTTTTTAATAGACTTGCAACGAATAGTATATTCGGCAGTATACCGAATAACGAATATTCGGCGAGGCCCCTGACCGAATAGCCGAATATTAGGCAAAAGTATTCGGCTGGATTTTATCGCCAAAAACTTGTACAGACGTGAATTAAATTATGTACCTGTTTTATGTACCAATGACTACTTAATAAATGATTATAAAAGAAATAAGAACCTTACCCTTCTAAATTTTGATTACCACAATAATTCAAATACATAAAATCCTCTATTTTTCCAATTCAGAAGATGATTATGTACCTGTGTATACACCAACGACTACTTAAATGATTATAACAGAAATGAAAATATGAATATATACGTAATCAATCGATTTTAATTTTTCATTTTACCAATTATTTCTCAATGACAAAATATATTATTTAAGTATTCGGTATTCGGCCGAATAATATGTAGATATTCGGTGTTCGGCCGAATATAATAAAAGCAGCCGAATAGGCCGAATACCGAATAGTAACCGAATATTCGTTGCAAGTCTACTTTTTATGGTTATTCTAAACCGCTACATATTGTCTGAACCGTGTATACTGTCTGTCTGAACGTGATAAACAACAGCAAGTTTCTAGCTATATTATAGTTAGTATTCCTCTTAGATTTATGGGGGAATGGGTGTTATGTCCCTCTGAAACTAAGAGAGAAGGGAGAATTTTCATTGCGCGATACCGGATTAGTAGTTACTACGTAGTTCGGTGTGTCTTCATTAGATGGCACTGTTATGATAGGAAAAAATGTATTCATATTGCTCTAATACCCATGCAGAGCAGGAGCAAGCAAGTGGTTTAGTAAAACAAACGCATTTCTACTTACTCAGAGTTTGTCTCAGCTCTCTTTTCAATTTCACTTATCACCATTCGCAACTTAGGGGCGCATGCTTGGAATTTCCCAAAATAAACGGCATAAGCGGTGTCTATGGTCTCCTGATCGTTCGGCGCTTCATCATTTGGTGCTAGAACTTGCTCTGTAGCATGATTTAATACATACGTAACGTAGGAACGAATAAGTCCAATGGCCCGGTTTTGTAGATGACGATATTTGACGAGGTAAGTATGAGATTCCTTGAAGGTATTCTGAAAAGTTATTTTAATTTTGGTACGTGAGATCTCGGATATTACATATCATATGTGAGTAGTGTAAAGCTTGCTCGACTTTTATTTTTTCTCTTTCTTAATATCTGAACTTGAAGAATTATTAAAAACCAATATATCCATAAATAATTTTAGGTAGAGTCTACTAAGACACTACATTATGTTTGAACACTTGAAATCATATCACGTAAGTGCATTAACCATAAAGGCTTTTTTTTTCTGTGCGGAACTCCCCTCGGATACCACCCACCGGTGGTTATGTCGGACTCGAACCGACCAAAAACCGCACGCCGTCTAGGGTACCAGTTGCTCGGGAACCAGGTGTACCCTAGGAAGGAAAACCCTGATACCCCGACGTACCTCGGGCAATATACGGCGTGTAAATGACCCCCTCCTGTGTGGGAACCCCTATGTCCCCTTTGTGCTCCCGAAAGGGAGCGAGACGCACTTCGAAGCGCGTCTCGCCACCACCCCGGCCTGCTTCTGCTAGGGTGACAGATGGCCTCACCTACCACCAACAGGCTTGCACTTATGGAGGACGGAGGTCATTCTGCGACCTCCGGCGCCTGAGTCGTCTGCGGTACTTGGCCCGTTGCCGGGCCTGGCGCTCCGGGAGTTCTAAACCTCTCCCGGTCTCGCTCCGCCATCTCCTTTGCAAGCATAACTTGCTCGCAGAAGGAGACGGCGGAGTTCCACGAACTCTCGATCAGTGCCATGGCGTCAATCATGTTACCGAGCGAGAGAATTCCCACTCCGATAGCCGCCACGAGGCCACGCCTCTGCTCCACCCACGCCGGGCATTCTGCCAGTGTATAGAGCGCTATGTCTACGGTCCGGCCATCGTAGTGGTGGCACTCAGGCGTTGGCTCCTTGCGTATCAGACACATGTGATCTCCGAAGCATCCTTTCCCGGTGATCACCTGCGTCAACCGGTATGAGAGGGTTCCGTGATGCCTCTCGAGCCAATCCTACATAACGGGTCTTACCGCCGCGATAACGGGGTGTGTGTGTGTGTGTGTGTGTGTGTGTACACATGTTAAAGGCCTAAGAAAGTAACTATTAGCTAAACTATATAAAAAGTTATAGTAAAACATACATTAGTTCTCATGTAATCCAAGCATTCGTCAATCTTGGCAAGCACATTGAAGAATGTCTCACTGTTAACAGACATGGTGGGACTATTGAGCCTCTGGGATAGATGCTCCACTTGGGTGAAGTAATGAAGTTTCTGTTTTATATTATCACCTGAAATGTGATCAAGAAAATAGAAATTTCAGTTTGTTATTTTCTGGATATTTGGGCTGTTCTATAGACTTGCATGTTCTTATGTGTTATCCCTCAAGATATTATAGAAAGTTCTCCCTGTTTAAAGTAAACAATCACACAAATATTCACCTATGCTAGAAAGCTTGTTCTGATCCGCCAGCAAATGTTCACTCATAGTATGTAATGCATTTGTTTTGTTTGACACAAAATTGTATTGTTCTGATAATTTCTCCAAATCAGACATTGTGGCCCCAATCTGGAAAATAGATGAAATAAAGCTATAAAGATTAAAGAAGAATGGTATTTTTAAATTGTGTGTGAAATATTTGTATTTGTATTTTCTTTGTATATGTGGAAACTAGAGGTATTCGGCAACTATTTAACACATACACTCACTTACTTACCAACTATTTTACACTAATTCATAATATTACTTACAAAGATTTTTATCTTCGTATAATAAACGCTCACTGTATATGCTGCTTCCGGAGATGACAAATAAATCTTGATAAATTCTGTTAGGTTAGGATTTTGTGATGCGTTTCTGACCATTTTAGTGATTCAGGTTTAAACCGACCAAAGGTAGTGTTGCTCCAGTGGAAACTCTCTGGGCCCATCACCCCACTGGGATTTGTCAATTGTGATGTGCAACCTGTATTGGCCTAAACCAATCTTGTCATTGGCTTAGTCCTTACATTTGTGTACCAAAGTAGGTTTGTAAATTGTAGTTGACTTAATGGTAATTTTTTTTTTAATGGTGGTTTTTAAGATTATGATAGAGCTGGGTCCTTACACTCGACCTGGATTTTTTGCGCATTTAAATATAGTATGTACTCTTTAAATTTTTCCAACAAAAAAAAGAAAGTTTATTTTTTTAATATCCATTGTGGAAATAAATAAGTCTTGCTGAAGCTGCCATGTAAGTATCAAGCTTACCTGATCGTTTAGTGCAACACATTCATTTCTTCTTTCTTCCAATTGCTTGTAATATGTCTCGTAAAGATTATCATCTGCCTTCAGGTTCGTGTCACTCAAAGTTTCATACCAATTCAAGAAGTCATATGTTGAATCCACTTTTGGTATTTCACTAGACTCAATTTCTTCATCTTCAGTTTGTGACTTTTCCTAAAAGACATGTAATGACTATACGATTATATTGAAAGTAAAAATCAAAATAAGATCACTCCTTGTGGTAATATTTTTTCTACTGACTATAGGTTTTATCAGAGCTTCTAAGGAAAAAGTAAAAGCGTAAATGTGTCATTACTTGTGTTTTATTCTAATTGCTTAAAAGCCATACCGGTAGCCAAGTCATAGGCGAAGCCGTTTGCTTGGTTGCCAACTCAATAATAGTAAAAATTACTTCGTCAATACTTAGGATGGAGGTTTAACTCTGATAAGTACAATAAACAAGAAACATTTTAAACCTACACTACACTGTACGATAAGTAAACAGATGAAGTAGGCAGTTACTCAAATACTTTCGTATTAAAAATAGTAATTGAAATTACAAACATGGTCTAAGTCGGTTGATACGCCGAGTATTATAGATTCTAAGTCAAGTATGGCTTCCCTTTGGTTAGGTGTGAGAGGTGCCAACGGATTGTCTGCAGCTTCCCATAGTAACAGTTTATTTTGAATCTCTTTTAGGCTCATTTTTAACCATAGAAGATTGTATTTATCTTAAGGTAAAGTGCACTGACACAAATTAGACACCTGCTTGACAGGTAAAACGTCAGTGACGTAAACAATGGGCCTTCAGTTTTTACTTTTACGTAAACTCCATTGTTAGAGTACGCATAACGAGAGATTATAGTTGTAATTTTAACACGTAGGCTGTTTTTAACTAGAATTTCAATCAACAAAGCATTGACTTGTAATTTTGTAATAAATTTTGGCATATTGATGAATCAATAGATTGCCATAAGGTACCTGAAGTGCTAATCACATTACATTTATAATTTTATATATCCACATTTAATATAGTTGCTGCTGAACTAAAGCCTCCCTCGTATTATATATATATATCCATATATATATTACTTTAATTTGTATTTTCAGAATTACAACATCGGCACAATTTGCCATATATTAAAACATTGTCTTAATGGTCATTTATTTTGTAAAAAAATGTGTTGTTCATATGAAAAGCACCATCTTCAGAAGTTTACGGGTATAGAGACATCTGTAGACGATAAAATAAACTATAAGTAGTAGAAAAAAAAAGAACACTCCAGTTGTTTCTGTTTAATATCGAAAGATGGCAACAGGATGTAAGCGATATAAAACTTTTTAAGCGGCACCTACCGAATGTAACTATGTACTACATTAGTTCTTAGTAAATTGCCCATTACTAGATGGCGCTTCATCTGTTTGCTATGATTATAATATTTATTACAGAAAACTACCAACGATCACATGTTTTATGTAAATAAACATTAAATCACCTGATCACCTTGATTTATCTTTAAGATTTTACTTTAGATAATTTACTATACTGTATCAATCTTACTGTCAAAACTCATTTGTTTTGATTTTAATTTTGGCCCTTTATACAGTTTTGTAGTGTGTTCCTGTGTACCATTACTAATTTATATTTTGTGCTAGCTGACCCAGCCATGTTATCTAGTCAAAAATTCAATAAATTTGAAAAGACATTGTTTTTCTTGAAATTTTCTTTTTATACGGCAATTTTTCAAACATTTTCTTTCCCTAAAAACCCTGTTAGAACTGTCATTGTGTCAAAAAAGAATTAGGTAATCAAATCTGTCAGACCCAAGTGTTGCGTTACTAACGAACAGTACCTACGTTTCTCATATTTCTCTACATAGAATATTTTCTTCCTTTCTCAGTAGGAAGCGACAAACAAGTGGTATAGTAGGTCAAAACCTCCTTTCTACGGAGAGGTCTATGTCCAGCAGTGGACTATTAAAGGCTGTTGATGTGATGTGATGATAATGATGTGATTATTTTTATTTCTTGACTTCCGTGTGGTGATTGATTAAAAATATGGAGTGTATCCAACCCTATTCATCCCGTGGGTGTCGTCAGAGCCGACTAAGGGAGCAAACTACATACGACAACAACACTGCAAAGAGAAGGCAATCTTGACACAAACCCTTCTGGCCAGCGAGGGTGGTATAGTAGGCCTAAACACATTCTAAGGAGAAGCTTCTTTCCAGCAGTGGACTTATAAAGGATGTTGATGATAATATTCTTGACTGTGGAGAGTTCAAGCAGATATTTGCTACTCTGTTGTATGCAGGTAAGTGACGCTTCGTTTAACCTCTATCCACTGATGTCCCTAAGAAATCAAGATAAGCTTTATAAGGGTAGTAGGTATGTATCTTTTATTTGTAGAACCTAATTGTCATTACCACATCGCATTTGCTTTATATTAACTGTAACGAGTTTCGGTTAAAATAAGATTGCGTCTCCACTAGAAATATGCGACATAGTGAGGCCATGGGGGACTACAAAAGAAAAAACGAAACTTTCTGTAGGAAAGGTTAGAAGCAGTTAGGTTTTATTAGTCCGGATATCTTATTAACAGCAGTTCAAGGATCCCTCCTATTACAGGCGCAGAGTTGCACACCGAGTGGTTTTAATCGGTCCGATTTCGACATACCATCCGCCGCAAACCCCGGTGGGTGAGGGCCCGAGGGGATTGCATCACGGAAAAATAATAATAATAATTTGCCTTAATTTCCAAATCCTTTTCAGTTATAAGAACATAGCTCCGACAGATATGATATGACACACGGTCCTACTGTTATGTAAGAGCACTAAAAGTTTAGCCTAGTTAGAAGGTCTGTGAAGATCTATTTGAAAAATAACTTTATTTGTACTCATTATGGTTCACACAGAATTTAAATTTAATGCGAATATTGGGAGCACAATTATAAATAAAATGCAAAGTCTGATCACTTTTTTTTTGCATTAATAACCGTTAAGATGTGTCATAAAATATGTTGAACGAAACTAGAGGGCTTGGGCAGGGCAGTTACAGGTAGTACGTACCCCAATGAGCAGGCAATGCTCAACCAATTGCTTACACGTCTTGCTGATCTGACATCGATGAAGACCTTGACATTTCTTTATTTTAGTAGTGTTCCAAACATCCGTACCAGTTTAAGCTCTAAGCGAGATGTGTAAATGTTATTTGACTACCACTATTATTTGAGCTGACTCAGGGTATTAAGGTTGAAATAATAAACAGAACAATATATTGAGTAGTTTTGCATTTATTGGGTATGAGGAACCTTTCTGGTCAACATAAGCTACAATGGACTTTTGTTTACAGTATATTTACAAATTTCTGTATCATTTAATATAATTAATATTATCATATCTAAGGTCTACAGTAATGCTTCTAGAAGTAGATTACTGTATATTCACAATAATTATGAAGACCTAACAAAAATCGTCTACACAAATATGTATGTAGTAGCGTTGTACAAAATACTACTCTATAGATAAAATAGTCACTCATCAGTCGCTGGGACACGCCTTCCAAACTTTGGCTTTTAAACAAACATCGGAGCCTGACTTTCACATGTTCCCACTTGCAGTCCAATCAGTCACCAGCCACTTTGTTCGCTTGTCTTATGTTAAACAATCAAGCTATTTAAATACAGCAGATATTTTAAATTATAAATTTAGATATACCTCTCGCGATAACATCTGATACATAAGGTAAGATAAGGTACACTACGGAATCGGTTCCTATTAATCACATTCTGTCCTTATATACATCGTTCCGACTCACAATTCTATTACAACTTGTACTATATACAAACAATTTTTAATTATTAAAAAAATACAATGTTAAATTACTATATACCTCCATTATCATAGATTGGAATAAAATAGTATATTTTTCGGTTTCAGCGTGCAAAATTGACTAAAACCAGCTATCGCACGAGGATGTTCTCGCAACGATCTAATCTAAACGTTACACATCAACTGTGATTATCATACATTCAAACATTTAAATTTAATCGTAATGTAATTATGTAATTAATAACAATATCAACTATTAAGATCGTCACACAACTCATTCAGTACTTTGCTATTGACAGATCATTATTCTCGGCCCTACAGGAACACTTGTAGTTTACTGCAACGTAGTACATGTACAGAGAAACGTGATAAATAACTTAACATTACAATGTAAAAGAATATATTGATAATAAATTAACACACAGTCCTTGTTCAATGCATATGTATATCCAACTATTTCATTTCATTTTTATAATAATATAACACACGTCTTATAGTAATCTTAAATGGAATACATTACGTGGATAGCGCTATCTAACGTTTAAATCAAATAAAATATACCCCACGTACATCAAAACACTAAGGACTCGTTGCTGAGATGCGTAGCAAAAGCATGGCAATTAGCACAAAATTCTGCACCCTAAATATGAAAATATAAATATATATCTATGAATTCGAAGCATAATGTCGAAGGCTAAGAGCCCAGAGCCCAGTGACACCCCGAAGAGTGGCGGCTTGCTCGTGTGCGCATACGGCGCTAACAGTAACTAGACACTTGTGTGATATACGAGAGGGCGAGACGCGCCGGCACGGGCCGTGCGCGCTGCGACCCTCGGCGCTCGACCGGTGGTGTACTTAACAGTCGTTCCTTGTTAACCTACGAATTAACATAGCACAGCCATAGTGACGTCCGTAAGGCGGTGGCGGGGTCGCGCGCCGAGGGCGAGGCCGGAGGCGGCCGAGGCCGGCGGAAGCCGGCAGGCGAGTTCAGCGGCGCCGGTACGCCGGCCTATGACACCGGCGGCTGAGGGCCCTGCGGTGCCGCCGGTGGCTTTGTTCCCGCCGATGCTGGTAGCTGTGCCAACGTGTCTTGACTTGCGTGTGCCCGCAGGTAAGTGTTCTCTACCTCTAACTGGTTGATCCGCTCCATGAGTTCTGCGATGCGCTCTTTCAATACTTCGACTTCTTCGCGCACCGCGAACATCAAGTGGCTCTTAACCAGATCCTGAAACAAGAAAAAAAAGTATTTACTCACTTGTTGAGGTAAAATTTTCACAGTTGAAACTATAATTCACTTTGATTGGGCACCGAAACGGACTAGTAAAAATATAACACACGAAAGCAATTATTTGAAACGCGTAAAAGATTACAAAATATATTTATGCCGTAATATAGATAAAACCGTACTTTTGGATTAGGCACGACCACGTAACAGGTATCTTTTTGTCCTTTCTGTCTGATTTCGTACAGGCAGCCATCTTTAGGTTTTTGTAAAACGTCAATCATAATTATTTTTTATCTTGGGTTACTAAACGTATGAGCGTCAGAGCGCACGTCTGAAACACGACTGACGAAGAACGATAACGACAACGTTAACTCAGAGAGCTAGTACAACTTGCGCTCGCGTGTCCTACCGGGCGACTGATGGTCTGCGCGCGCGTTCGCCCTATATAAAATGGCGGCGAACACGTCATCACGCCACGCGATTCGACCGTGCACCCTGAACTCAACGACACAACCTACATCGATATCAACTGAGCCCTTATTTTTCTAGATTTTGATTTGCTAACAAACAGCAGAATCATCATAATACAATTACTTGGTTTACACTTAAATATTTATGCAACTAATTGCCGCTTGTTTTTTTTAATAAAATATTTTGCCACAGGGACCTATTAATACACAGCTAAAAGAAATCTATAACACATTTGTAAATTGTGAATCTTGTGCCCTAACCAAGTAAATAATTATAAAGACACTAACTGCGATATATGTATGTAAATATGCGGCTGTCAGAAAACTAATTATGTGTCTAGAAGCCTATAAATTGAAAAAAATAAAATGTCCATGTTCACCAAAAATCCGTTTTTGTTTTAGTAGATATGATTATTTCAGAGACTATTTTTTTTAAAGACGATTCCCGCATTAGGAATATATCCTGTGTCGCGGGGGACTTTACAAACATACATACATGACGGACACAAAGAACACCCAGACTCAGAACAACAATTTGTTGATCACACAAAGTGTCGTCCCATGTTGGGATGGGACCCACAACACTCAGCGTAGTAGCAAGCGGAGTGGCGATCACTTAAACTACTACGCCATCCGTGCAGATTAGTAATAACATTAATTTACGTTTACAGCCAAAACTAGAAGCACAAACAGCTAAATAAAGATATGTACGAGTATTTATGTACTTATTTATTTATGACGTCTGGAATAGTATGTTTACAGAAACCAATTAAGCTTCATTGAAAAATTTTACAACTACAAATAATTGAATGACAAAAATAAAACAATGATATCAATCAGATGGTGTAACTTTCTAATTAATATCATTTTTGAATCATTGAATGCTACGTAAACATATATGTTTAACGTGTATAAAAGTTCTATTGAAAGTGTAGTAGAGACCGCTTCCTGATCTTAGGTCGAACTATAGAGACACAAAAACTTTGTAGTCTTTGAACAAAACAACGTACGCTGAGAGCATCCGTGTTTTATGAATAAAAATATAAATACTTGAAAATAACCAGAGTACTTCTTAATCTACTCTACATTGATATATCGATAACTCCTAAGTATAATGAGTAAACTGACATTATAGTAATTTTACAGAAGAGTGATTTGAAGGCAAACTGTTAATTTCTTAATCAAATCTAATTTATTCGAAATAAATTAAATGTTACTTTAATGTGATTTACACGCTCTTCCTTTGGTATAAAATGATTTTGCTGATTTTTCTTTTTAAATTACATTTTATGTAGGTACATGACTGGGATACGCCGGCGGGACTCAATAGTAAAATGGTTTAACTACGTTGTATCATAATCCATGGTTTACATCAAAATATTATGAAATATGACTGACATTTTAATAATATCATCTTACTTTTGGTTGTTTTCGGAATTTTCTCTTACTTAATTATAAAACGTTAAAATTACATCACTTGATTCATTATACTAGGAAAGTACTTAGTCATGTTAACATTTAAAACCTCAACGTATACTGGACTAATATAATTAACCGAGACTTTTTAATTACTCATTGAATTTCTATTATAATATCTGTACATAATAATTATGAGACCATTCAACTTCAATATGATAATGATAGAATATAATCAAAAACGAGTGAGGATAGCCTAGTGGTAGAACGTTCGTTTGTTCGTTCAAACGTCATAAGTTTGATCCCCGGGCGTCGTTATTGGGAAGTCGGTGTCTTCTATCTAATATATATCTTCTATCTAATATATAACCGGTTTAACAATACGAATATCGGTATCCCTTTGGGTTACGTAGATCAGATGGCAGTCATTCCGTGGAAAACTGATATTCGCTACGAAACGACCTTGCGAAATGTGGAATTAAAAAAGGCCAGGTCAATGAAAATAATAAGAATTAAAAATGGTAACTTACGTTAAACAATATTAATAAAAAGAATAAACATGAATAACATAAATATCTAAAAAGTCTAGGCAATTCGAATGCTCAATAAAAAAATAAAAAATAAATGCCAATATAAGTCGTAACAAAATAAAAAAATATTAAATAAAGGTTTAACAATTTAAAAATCCTCTGAATCGCTGTCATTGACTGTGTCAGTGCCAATAGAGTTAGTTAAAATCAAATTATATTATAATATGATGTTATTTGAATCAGTATACAATGTACGATTTTAACTGATGTTGCAATTGATTTACTCGTAGTATACGTAAAAATTATCACGGTAATTACCGTTCTTTAAAAAAAAAAACAACACTTACATTAAGGTCATGGTTTGGTATGTACATTTATATAAAAATAATGAAATACCTAAATTTGTTAGATGACTTGAAACTTAGGAGGCATCGATATGAGCTATACAAATAACTATGAAAAAAATAATTGAAAGCGATGGAGGTGAATCAAGGAGGGGAAGAGTAAACGAGAAGCTTAATATAATCTGTTAGTTATAAAACGGGATATAAATAAACGTTTGTTGATGAAATCTTCTTAGGTGCATGCTCTTGCGTGGGTGTTGCGACCTTCAATTAGCGAAAAAACTGAGTGCTGAAATTACACCGGTCTGTGCCGGATCTCGTTAGACAATATTGAGTCTCGCGTCAGTGTTGGATTGATGGGCCTATACTTGGCCAAAGTACTCATCGTTAAAATATATTGGCAACCAATTGAAAGTTCACTAGAAACGTGAAAATTTGCACGCAAATGAAAACAACAGGAAAACGGTGATTAGGAGCATCCTATCGTTAGCGATACAAATGCTAAGTAAACAGCTCTTATCTAGTTTTTTTATGTCAGTAGGTGAATTTGTTAAGCAAGCCTGATGAAAGCGAAAAATATTTAACTAGTATTTTTATATTAGTTAGTATTACTACTACTTATAGTAAGCAACCCTTATAGTAAAAAAGTGCGGGACGTAAAGAGTTCGATGAACTTTTTGCGCAGTAGCGCACCGAATACAACAGCCGATGATATAACCAGTCAAGGGCATAACTTGAAACCTGTCGCATTGTTTGTAATTAAACCGGAAAATACCAATGATAATTATGGCAAGAGCACTTCTATATAACACTTTTGTTCGACTTTGAAGGTGATGCTACCATTAGTACCATTTTCTACCATAGTCGAACAAGAGTGTACGCCAAAGTGTACACAAGGCCTAGGCTTTTGTATGTTTCTTGGCAGATTAACTCTGTCTCAAATGGAGGGCGTCGAGGAAGTATCAATTTCAAATGGTGTATAGGACACAGGAGCTCTCATACATAGAGAAGAGTTGGCAATGACAACGCGATTACATTTTTGTTACACGTGTTTGTAGACCCTGGGTACGGCCTCAACATCAATTGGGCTCTATACTTATATGTCAACAAAATATTTTATAACTTTTTGAGCATTCATGTTTTTTTTTCATCGATTGAGGCTTTATCGAATGTGAGTACACAAGGTTCAAATTATAAATAAACAAGATTATAGAATTATCAGTAGCAATGATATCGATAACATCTATTTTTTATATGCGTAGATACGGCTATTACGTAAAGAATAAAACTAAATAGTATCAATAACAACAAGCTTATCAAAATATCTAAAAAACACGAAAGTGAAGTCTCAAAGACAAAGGTGGGTAAACAGGTTTATGCAAAACTCGTAACAGTTGAAACAGGCGTCGGCGAATTGTATTAGTGACATCATCTCCATTATAAAGCCTGGCTGTTTTGTACATATGCATATGTGTGCCAACTATCAAATAATGCACAACAAGGAATCAAGTAGTATACATAATAAAGCGATCTTAGCAATAGATAAAGGTATGGTTCACGATCTACATTGCTGAAGTAAATGATTGCGAGTTGTAAACAGTTTTAAAATCAGCGTTACATAAAAATGCTAATGACTATTAACTATCATGACAGCCTCATTAATGTAGAACAAGGTAATGTAGAACCAGATGAACATAGTAACAGAAATTCGCGAGCTACTGATCAAAATAAAAAATTCGGAAGTCAGGAGCATCAAATTGCAACTCGTCGCAGGAGCAATTCTTCAATATGTATTAACTTGCAAAACAGGTTACCGATTTTCCAAAGACCAATCGTAAAACTGGTGGAACAGGCATAATTCTCTACACATGGTTCACTAAGGTTTTCACCTCTCCCTGCTAACATTCAAACGCTATCCTTATAAAATGTATGGAAATTCTAGTACATTGTGTCTAAGACTAAAAAGTAATTTGAGTGAGTAAAATAATCTGAGAATGATTTATTCGATATTGGTGTCGATTTTGTTGGTCACGACACTAAATATATCATTTAAAAAATTATTTTCCTCTAAAGCGTTAGGGTCTGGTTCATATCAAGGAATTGAAAGAAAATTTTAGTTTAGTAATTTCGTAATTTCAGACTACTTTAGAGTTTTTTTTATAACAAGAGAATTCGCACCAATGGTTTTCTTTGTTTTACACATTAACTTAAATTAAGTATGATAATGGCGCAAATTGCTG